CCCCAAAACCCCAAAACCCCAAAACCCCAAAACCCCAAAACCCCATAACTGATATTAATATTGATCAGAGGTCTACTCGTAAGGTATTTTGAACCTGATCACAGAATTATTGTTAAGGTGCTTAAAATCCGATCTTCTGTTCTTCTCTAAGATTTATGAATCTTCCGATCTGATTACCTCCTCTTGGCATAGGCTCATTCTTCAAGTTCTCATGGTCATAGTTAAGATGCTTGCGTGTCATTTTTGACATTTTATTACTATCGACAGAGCTATCTTTCTATAGTTCTTTAAGAGATGGACCTACAGATTTTGTGTTCAAATTTATTTTACTCTCTGAAAGAGTACGGGGATTTCTTTGTTGGGGTTCAACTTTACTGATCATTTTTAGTCCATTTCTGTTTATTTCTATCTGTTTAATTCGGTACTTCCTTCTTTTCAAAGTCTCTTTTATATAAGACTTTAGTGAGAAAATAGTGACGAGTGTAGCAATTATGCCAATTATGAAGTTTGTAAGAATAATAGTATAGCACATCAGATCTACTATTATTTCAAGACCATTGCTGGACATTTTTAAAAAGTCTGAATCACTCATTATAACTCAATACAAAACTCACAAGACACATATACTCACATCTGTCATAATAAAGATAAAATTTTCGAGTTTAGTATCGAAGGGTTTGAAAATGCATATGTATAGAAAATGTGCCAGATTGCATCCGAAATATGTTAAAAATTGGGAATACTTTTCTGTAACTCCTACAATTCAGATAACTATTACCACTCTTCTTGCTATAAAAACAACAGGGAACAACCTCTTTGATTTCTTGGTCATGTTTAAGGCAGCAAATACAGACTCAAGTTTCACAGAAATGATGTCATAGTGCTTAAGCTTACACACGAAAACTCACAGCCATACTCCAGCAACTATCGAACTGATGACTATAAGTGTTGACAATAGCATTGACACAGTTGCAAACACAGAGTAGTTATTGTACCAGATGATTTCGTACAGAGCTCATATCATGATGAACAGCAGAGACTCTAAGTAGAACCGGATGTATCATGCAAAGTTCAGGAACTTGTAAGTACCCAGAATCCATTTCTGTTTGCATTTCATCGGGGCAAACTCATTTTCTCGCTGAAGAATGCTTAGGGTTTTACCGCTTTGGTTCAGACTTGTCAATGCAGCCGCGAATAAATGAGTTATCATTATTCCCACCATGAAAATGAGTGGCATTGAGAAATTGATCAAAGTGCTCTTGTAACCAATGCCAATTTTGTCAAATCTTCTTTCTGACTGTTCTAGATTCATAGAGGTATATGAGATTCCATTGTTAATTGGAATTATTTTCTGTATGAACTCTAGGTCTAGCTTGAATACTTCAAAACTCTGCAACAGCGAGTAAACTTTTTCAGCCAATTCTGTATGTAGTAGTAATAGAGTGAGTAGTAGTTGAAAATACTCAGACACTGTGAACAAGTTCTGCATTGAAAATCTAGGACTGAACACTGAAGCTGCTGATGCTAGTCCTACAGCCATGGTTGTCCCTACTACTACTGTAGTTCCCACTGTTTCTGCAGCGACTGAAAGTAATTCATTTTGCTCTCACAGGCCAGAATCTTGGTTAAACACAGAACCTTGCTGACACTGCAAGCAGTTTCCACTGGAGTCACAAGAACTGCAGTAGGCTTGACACTTAGCCACATTAAGAGTGTAGTCATAAGTCGCTGTCTTGCTAGTCATAGTCACCGCAAGCTTCAAATTATGAATAATGTTTGGTTCTGGAGCAGTTCCAGTAATAGACCCGCCACTAGAGTTAAACTGTAGCCAAGACACTTCAGACCCGTTAATGAAGGTTAAGGTAACATCTACAGAAGCAGAAGCATCTAGACTACAGAAAGGAGGATCCAGAGATATGTTTTGGTAGACTTGAGCATAGAAGGTCACTGGTGCAATAGAGGATCTGTGGTTAGGAGTAGTCATATATTTGGAACAAGAGGAAGTTGATATTGTTGTATAAGCATCTGCTGATAAAGAGAACGAGGAAGGAGTAAGATTTGTAGTTGTCGATGTTCATCCACCTCAAGTGCTAGAACTAAGTGATGGTATTGTACTACTAGTTATAGTAGTTGATGTTCCAAAATTGGGCTTCCTTCATTCTGTCTCATATGAGTTTAATGCTTGATCTGCTCGAACAACAAACACATTTCCTAAATTACTGTTACTTCAAAAACTTACTTGGATTTCCTCCTGTATTTGAAACATGGAGCCATACTTGGAAATACTCGTTTTGCAGCCTCATTGTGTTATAATAAGTATAACCTGCCTCTCTTTGGTAACTAAAACTCAGAGAAGTATAGTTCATATATCCAAAGAAAGTATGGGTTGAAGTATGGCCATATACCACCACCAAATCGTAATATCATCAATAGATTGATGAGAGAAATACGGGGACTATCTGAACTCTCTCAGCAGTAGCTATAGTCCCTGTCAAGGTAACTTGAAAGTAGGCAGCATGGTTGTTGGCATCATTTGAGTCTCTACTAAAAATATATCTATTTGTTTGATGTCTAGTCATTAGAGTGTTTATCAGATTCATATTTGCTGATGGATACTCAAAAATTTGGGTAAGAGTTAACGCATTTCCTGAGATTGAATAGTGGTAAAACTGATGGCCGGAAACTAGCAAGGCTGTATTTATTGATGAACTTTTGTAACTATCAAATGCAGCATCGCTAGTAGTCATAAATGTTTCGTAGATAGTGGCTGTTTGAGATCAAGTATATCAAAATTGAACTACTTTTAAATTTCCTGCGTTTTTAGTTACCAGAAATAAATTTTCATTCGTTACACCTTCCTGAGTACCCATTCAAACAATAGAATGAGAACTCATCACAAATGAATATTCAATTGCGCCTGTGGTTGTGCTGAGTATATGCAACCTTGTTTCTGACACAGCTGCTAGCTTTGAATTAGGCAAAGATTGCAACTTCTTTGCTTGGGCAGCTAACACATAATCAGTTGAGGAAATCTTCGTCGAAAATGAGATGTTCCAATTATCATCGATTCTGAAAACAGTCATTGGATACATAAGGAAAAAAATGTCTTGCAAATTTCCAATGATAGCGTCTATTTGTTAGAATTAAATAACCAACCGATTACATAAATTTGAGAAGGAGGATTCCATCTAATCTCTGTATCAGTCGAAAGGACTTTATTGTCCTGGGTTGTATCTCATGTTTGCAGATTTATAGAACTGCACCTTGAAGAGCAAATTAAAACCTAGATATTAGAAATTAGATTTAGCCTAGTTAACTCAACTGCTTTTCCCGTCATAGATTGGAAATTGTACTCTAAGATTAGCTTACTAAGAGAATTGCCGCGAATAATATGAGTCTATAAGATCTCATTTATGTTATTTTTGTAGAATTCTATAAAGCAGGCTTTACAGGGGTTTTGGGGTTTTGGGGTTTTGGGG